TTTTTTTGTCTCGATGTTTCCCTGTTTTCCTCGGGGAGTTTCTCTCCTGGGATCTTTCTCTGGTTCTTTCTGCCTCCTGGTTCCGGCACGCTTTTGCTACTTCCACCTCCGTTTCTCACTTTCTGTCTGTCTGTCTGTCTCTCCTGCGCAGTCCTGTTCGGTGCGCCCTAGACCAGTTTCCCCAGGGGGCTGTGAGGCAGCGCCCCACCTGCAGGGCAGGAAGGGGACTTCCTCCGGGAATTTGCTGTCCCTGCCTCGCCTGCGTGGCCTGCACACTTGCTCTGTGGGGACCTCCCCTTGCTAGCCTCAGCCAGCGTGACTAGAGCGCGTTCCAGGCCTCCAGCCTCACTCCATCTTTCATAAATATCCGAAAGTGGTCCAGCCGCTCTCCCCCACCTGGCAATCAGAAGCCCCAGAGAGTTACTTTACCTAGGGGACACCTGATGTCTTTCTGTGCCACATTTTGAGCCAAGGTATAAGTCAGAAGCACCACCCTTGCTTTTAGAAGTGCAGTTCCCAGGCTGTCTTTTAAAAGACTTGTGGTTTGACTTCCCTTCACTCTGCTCTTTCCTCCCAGGCTTGGGCACTATTTAAAGGGAAGTTCCGAGAAGGCATTGATAAGCCAGACCCTCCCACCTGGAAGACGCGCTTGCGATGTGCTTTGAATAAGAGCAACGACTTTGAGGAGCTGGTGGAGAGGAGCCAGCTGGATATCTCAGACCCGTACAAAGTGTACAGGATTGTCCCCGAGGGGGCCAAGAAAGGTAGGGGCTTCCCTGAACCTGGGTCACAGAATGGGGGCAGCGGATACTTACAGTGGCTTCATTTCCTTCTGAGAGTCACTTTCTATTTTAGCGTTTGTATAGCCCAGCGGGTCCTTTGCCCAAGTTCTGTGGTGTGTAAGTTGAAAATACTATGATATTGGTGTAGGATGCTTCATAGAGTCTAAGCCTCCGTGAGCGTGTGTGTGTGCATGTGCGTGTGGGGGGGTGCGGTGTCTCCTATTACAGTATTTCCAAAAGAACACCTGGAAGACTCGTTAAAGCTTTGCCTATCTAATAGCTCTTGTAACTTTGTCCTAGAAGGGGAAACATACTCCACTCCCACAAAGTGTTACTAGTTATAATAATAAAAATGCCAACTTTTAAGAGTATAACGGTGCTTATTGCGATCCAGATCTTTGGTCCTCTCCTTCCAAGAGCAGGAACAGCGTGTCCTGAGCACAGCCCAGGGATCTGTGTTTTAAATCAATAATGCTGCGTCAGGCTGGCCCAGCCTTTTGGCGTGCATGAAGCACATTCGCACACTGTGTTTCACTAATTTCTTACCTGTCATACACAAGCCAGACACTGCCAACATCATTTTAACACCATGGATGAATAACTGCCCAAGGGAGTTGCTAGAAAATGCCTTATTTGTCAACATCATGCGATGCATTCTAAGAATTAAGCCCTCAGGTATTTTTCCAAGATTTGACATTAAGTCAGTTCCTTTTTTCACTCGGTGCCATTTCCCTCTTCCCCAAACACACAGGAGCCAAGCAGCTTACCCTGGAGGACCCACAGATGGCCATCGGCCACCCCTACTCCATGACGACGCCGTACACGTCCCTCCCAGCCCAGGTACGAGGAGGGCACTAGGTTCTGGAGGGCCGGGCCGGGTCTCCATGCTGGGCCGACAGAGCAGGGACACCCAGACACCACAGAGGACTCGACACGCATGGGTGATCCCTCCAACGGCCAAACACGGTCCCTAGTCACTTCGGTCCGACTTCTCCGGCACTGTGGCTGGCCTCTGTGACTAAGTGGGGCGATTGGGCGTGTGCTGCTGTTGGAATACGGTTCTTCCGGTTCCTCAAATCCTCTGGGAACCAGGCCTCCTACAGCAGTTGAAGATTTTGGAAGCAGAGCTCTGTCATGTGAAACCACAGGGCAGCTGATCGCTGCAGGCTTTGCTCGTGTGAATGGCAGCTCTGTTGTGCTCCCGTGGTGGGGGAGGGGAGGCAGAATCCCCTGCAGTATTTTTGGTGCCGACTCAACCATATGATGCTGGTGGGCACCCGTCCGTGCTTCGCCACAGTGCCCCCATTGTGCTCCCCGACCCGCTGTGGCTCCGTCCGCCTGGTCTGACGGATGGTCCCCCCAAATCTTCTGGATGATAAAGCGATTTGGCTGCTGGCCAAAGAAGGGGTTCCTGGAGGAGTGTGGGAGGGTGCGAAAGCACCCCGCTTCCCGCGCCCACGCTTTTCATCTCAGCTCCTCCTGCGTCCCTTCAGCAGGTCCATAACTACATGATGCCGCCGCACGATCGCACCTGGAGGGAATACGTCCCCGAGCAGTCCCACTCGGAAATCCCGTACCAGTGTCCCATGCCGTTTGGTCCCCGCAGCCACCACTGGCAAGGCCCAGCTTGTGAGAATGGTAAGGAGCACACGGGCGCAGGCGACGGGAGAGAGGAGTACTAAGCGGCCCCCAGGGCAGCACCGCAGGCTCCTCCTTTGCCCTCCCGGTGTAGAGTGAGGAGGAGACAGCTGTGTGCTGCTGGGCGCTAGCTAAGTCCTGAGAGCCAGGCTGACTCTCAGGATCTGTGCAGGCCTACCTGTGTGGCTCCTTAGTTAAATACCCAGAGATCATTCCCGGAAGCTGAAATTGCCCAGTTCCTGGAAGTTGCCGGAACAGAAGGCATGAGCTCAAGTCACCCAGTAGGAGTCAGGGGCTGGTCTCAATTCCAGATCTCCTGATCCAGCCTTCCCTTTGAGACCTGAGGCTGCATCAGAACGCTTGTTGATACATTCTTTAAGTTTAATGTGGTAACATTTTTCATCCTGGTTGAATAATCTCTTTGTAATCATAAGCAAAATGGGATGGATGTTGGCAGTCTTCCCTCCTGGATTTTCCCTTAATGCTGACTGAAAGCCCCCATCTCAGGAGTCTATTTCTGTCCACCTGCCCTTGTAAGGGGCATACTCCAGCTGTGGCCACACCCTCCCTCCGCAGACCCCCAGACCATTACTGAGCTCGTGTCCATCCCCGGAACAGTGGTGTGTCCGTTCTCACTGTTGTTGGTATAGAAGGTGATGATAAGAGGGGAGTGGGTAAACACCAAGAAGAAAGGAAGAAAGAAAATGTTTCCACAGAGCCTGGCTAGTACTGGGTCCCCAAGACTCGCTTTGCAGGGTTAGAGGTGGTCTACTGCCCACAGGGGCCCCCCAACATCAAATGAGATCACACAGCAGCTCTTAAGGAGCTAAGTGCAAAGAAATTTTACAAGCTGTGTTCAGTGCATAGAACGTGAGCTTGAGGACTTGTGAATCGGTTGCTTAGGTAAGATCCTGAGATGCGTCAGCACACGGACCGCCTGGGGTGCTATGGGAATGTCTGCTCCCCCGTAATGTGACCATTTCCAGTCCCATTCAAGGCATTCTTGCCTTCGGGCACTGAAGAGGTTCATCACTATTTGTAGTGTTTGTACTGAGTGGCACATCAAGCAGAGAAGCTTGGAATTCAGTTTCATGGGCTTTTCAAGAGTGATTTGCAGTGAAGGTTGACTTTCCAAATTGCAGCAGAGGAAGCAGCTAACGTTTCTGGAGCTCAGGTCTGCGTCCAGAACTCAAGCTATAGTCAGCGAATGATACGGTAGTGAGGAGGCAATGCTTTGAGTTGTGTGCCGAGATCGCATGGACAGTCCTATTTCCACCCTCAGGAAATGCTAAGAGAGGGTCAGCACGGTTAGGTTGTGGGCAGGTTCTTTCTCCGTTTGTGTTTAAGGCAGCTACTGCATAGTTGTAGCACTACATAGCTACTGCGCTGCTTGAGACCAAGCTCTGATTTCTCTGAACCCAGAGGTACTGGGCAAAACAGAGACAGACTAAACGCTTTGCCAGTTTTTAATCAGGCTCTTTGTGTCAGAAATCACACTAACTTGAGCTCAGTGCCCTGCTATGAATTTGCTGCATGAACAGGAGCCAATCCCCTGGTCTCCCTCTGAGCCTCAGTTTCCCTACTTACAAATCATGGAGAGAGCTGTGAGTTTCCTTCCAGCGCTGTACAGTGGCCTCCTCCTCCTTCAGCCTTGGTTTCTCCAGCTGGATTTCAGTTTGTCTTTGCCTTAAGAGCTTGTGCCCAGCGGTCCACCTGCTGGGCACAGGCTGGGAGGTGACCCAGGCACGCCCCGGGCTCCCGGGCTTAGTGCACGTTCAGACCCTCTTCAGACACCTTCTGACTTTTATTTGCAAATGCAGGTTGCCAGGTGACAGGAACCTTTTATGCTTGTGCCCCACCTGAGTCCCAGGCTCCCGGAATCCCCATAGAGCCAAGCATAAGGTCTGCCGAAGCCTTAGCGCTCTCAGGTGAGTGCAGCGCTCGGTTCTGGAAACTCCTGCGGGAGGCTGGCCTCTGCTGTGGCTCCTCTCGACTTTGGGTAGCGTTGGTGGGGATGATCCTGGCTTGGCTTTGCACCCTCCAGGTCTGGAGTGGGCTGGACAGATCCCGTTCCTGGGCTGTGTGGTCGGCAGGGAGCGGTGAGGAGCACCGTTCGGAAGCTCGCAGGGGGGTGCTTGTTTGCACTCCTGGTCATAGATCCAAGCTCGAGTGGATGGAGGCATTTGTCCTCTCCATGGATGCCCACCTGAGCCTGCAGGCGTGCAGACACCCCAGTTCCCTGTACCCGGGGTCCGTGAGGCCAGCAGTCTGGCCATGCAGGGCATTTTCCTAGGAAGTTATAAGAACTTTGAAAAGCTGTTCGTCCTTCCAGGGTCAGCCACAAACTGACCCTTATCTTCCCGAGGACACTGTCCCTGCCTGCTCTTTGGGAAACTCACACGCGAGAGCAGCGCACAGTTCAGCCTCTGAACTCCCATGAGACTTGCAGACGAAGACAGATTCAACCTGACTTACACACCCTCTTCTAAAAGACCCCTGGCCGTGGGTAGTGATCTGTTTCAAGAAAAGAACTCCATGACTAGCTAGGCATATGTCTTTAAGACAATGTAGTCTTTCAATAATATTTTGAATTGTTCTTAAGCAGCATTTCAATTCATAGTAAAAATCAATAGCTTAGGCTTTGCAGTTCTCACCCTGCCCTAACTCTTTACATGTCACTGACAAAATGCAAACTAAATTCTGAAGGTTTTAGGGGGATGTGAGCTAGGCCCTTTCTGCTCACCAGGGAGCTGCAGTTTTACCTTCTAGGCCCTTCCAAGCCCTAACTTCTGAGGGAGGCTCTGCCTCTCTCCTGCGATGATGCTCAGCAGTAGCTGGGTCCCTTCGGGCGGGGGAGGCACTTCCGAGCAGCAGGCTTGTGTTTGTTTTTAGAAACTTTCAAACTCTTTCTTGAGCACCTAAGATTTGTGTGGGTGCCTGAAGAATAGGAAATAAACAGCTATTTATATCTTTTCAACCTCGTGATTTCTGACGACATTGAATGAAATGAAACCTGCCCCTCGAGTCACCTCTGATAGCCAACACCCACTCGCACTGGGTGTGCCGTCTCACGGCCTCACTCGGGTTTGCAGTGGCACAAACGGGAGAGACAGTGGTGTGGGTTAAATCTCAAATCCTGCCCTGAGGACTAAAAGGGTTTTGTGGGTTTCTTTTTTGTTTGCTATGCATAATTTTGCAGATTAATTCTCGCCCTTGGGTTTACTTACCAGAGAGTTGTGATTCCCAGCCATTGTTACATCCCATGTAAATGCTGAGCGATAGTCTTACTTTTCTGTTAGGGAGCCCTCTGCCAGCTCAGCTTGGTCCTTCAGGCTGTGGGTGAGATTCTAAAGAGGTTTCTGAAATCAGTAAAAACTTCTATAAATAAAGTCACCTTTCTAAAATGTTTAGGAAGCCCAGTCTTAGAGTTGTTCAGACTTAAACACAAGCCTTATGCGGCAGTTTTCTCATTGATTACCCTGCCTGTCGGTGCTGGGCTTGGAATCTAGGTTCTCACAGATGCGCTGTACCACAAGTTACACCCCCAACCTTAATTCCTTTGCTCTGTCTGGAATTAATTTTTGATAAAAGCGTCACATATCCATTGTAGAAAACTAATTTAGAAATCAGAAAACAAAAGGGGAAAAAAAGAAAAACATTATATTCTATCATCCAAAAATCACCATTCATAGTTAAGGGCTTAATTATTAGCTAGCGTTCATTCTTTTTCTTTATTTCTTTCTATCGTCTACTATCATCTATCTGTCTTCTATCTATCATTTATCTATAATCTGTCATTTATCTGGCATCTATCATCTATCTATCATCCTATCTATCTGAAATTATACTGATACTTCAGGGAAGTTTTGCGTGTAGACATACTGTACTTGCTTTTCTTCTGAAACACTCATATACTTTTTGCAGTAGAAATGAAGCTTAGGGTTCACCCGCTCCAAAATCAAAAGATTTGCTTCCAGATGAGTTTTCATTCAGTGGCATATTACTTCAGATGGAAATATTGTTACCACAATCATTATCATCATCCCAAAGTGACTCCTTTAATTCTTTACCCGAGGGGCTCACTAATTTAAACTTATTTTGCAGAATATTCATGAAATATATATTTCCCTCTATTCTCAAAAAAAAAATGAAAGCACCTATGACCACATGACCATTAGAACTGCTGGCTTCACCAAGCAAATGTGCTGCATCTGAGGCTCTCGGGAAGGAGCCCACGGTGTCTCCCAGACTCCCACCCGCTCACGGAGCCCCTTGTGAAGCCAGGGTCCACCTACTGCACTTCGTTCTGGCCCAGTCTCAGGCACCATGGGGGGCATCCCAGGCCCATCAGACCTGACCCCAGAGCTCTGTGCTTGCAGATTGCCGGCTGCACATCTGTTTGTACTACCGGGAAATCCTGGTGAAGGAGGTGACCACATCCAGCCCTGAAGGCTGCCGGATCTCCCATGGACACACCTACGATGCCAGCAACCTGGACCCGGTCCTGTTCCCCTACCCGGAGGACAGTGGACAGAGGAAGAACATTGAGAAGCTGCTGAGCCACCTGGAGAGGGGCGTGGTCCTGTGGATGGCCCCGGATGGGCTTTACGCCAAGAGACTATGCCAGAGCAGGATCTACTGGGACGGGCCCCTGGCACTGTGCAGTGACCGGCCCAACAAGCTGGAGAGAGACCAGACCTGCAAGCTCTTCGACACGCAGCAGTTTCTGTCAGGTACCATCTCACTGTGTGCGGGGAGGTGTCAGTGGTGTGTGTCCCAGGGTCCTGCCTTCCCCAGGCAGAGGTTTTCCTCCTGTTGCCCCCAGAGCCCAGGGCCTCGTCCCAGAAGAGAGGTCCTGCCTGGTATGTGTCCGTGTCTGCCCCTGTCATCTTCTCCTCCTGTCCCCAAGGCCCAGAGTCCAGATCAGATAGCCCAGGCAGACCATGGCTGTGGCTTAGTGCTTCACTTTCTGGTTTTCAGTAGCCACCCTTTGTCATCATTCTGTTTTATTGGCAAAGATCTCATTAAGCTTATCTGCTGAGACCTCAGCTCTTCCAGGTTCCTGAAAACTGTGGAGGTTTTAAGTGCATTGCTAACCTTCTTGCTTGTGAGTTGCAACACCCCAGGCAGACGCCACCCTGCAGGTGGGCCCAGGAGAGCAGTGTCTTGAATCCATGTAGCAAAGGGGAAATGAGGAGGCTTCTTTCGCCTTGCCTCAGGCCTGTGAATGCTTGACATCGTGTTTTCCAGAATCAGTGTACCATGTTGTTCTAGTTTTGATTTCAAGACAGTTCAGTGAGCCCTGGGCTGGCACCCATGACATCACTGGCCGTGGTTTAGTGGGGCTTCCTCCGAAATGTGCCTTAGCTCCTGAGGGGAGGAGAAGGATGCCACCCACCTGCCAGTTCTGTCCCTTCCTCAGCCTGGCCCTGTCCTCTCACAGGCACCCCATCTAAGCACTCTGTGTCTTGTGCTTCCCCTTGTGAGACCCCCTTTTCCTAGGCACAGGCACAGCACGTGCCTGTGTACACAGGACAGATGAGCCCATTTCATGGGCATGCACCGTGCACACCTATCATCTTTGCAGCGAGGCAGCTCTTGAAAACCTACTCTCTGAGCAGGTCTCAAGTGTAGAGTACACCGCCTGCTTGAAAATAGTTGAACTCTTGGAAGTGGCATGTTCACGGTTAACTGTGGCCCTGGCGAGGAGCTTATTCCTCCAAAAGCAAAGTCTGCACCCTTTGACCGCCGTCTCCCCAGTCCCCCGTCCCAGCCCCTAGTGACCGCCAGTCCACTCCTTGCTTGTGTGAATTCAGCCCCTTGGATTAAAAGACATAGGAGAAGGCTTTCTAACTGAGACACCCCAGAAAACTGAGGTTACTTGAGATTTGTGTTTCGGCTCCTGGCATCTTTCACTGAAAACAACGTCCTCCCGGTCTCTCTGTATTGTTGCAAATGACAGGATTTCCTTCTTTAAAGCTGAGTAGTGTTCTGTCGTGTGTACTCCGCATTTTCTTTATCTGTTCATCAGCTGGTGGATATTTAGGTTGATTTGTGGTCTTGAGCTTGTCTCTCAGACACACTGATTGCATTTCTGTTGGGTGCATACCCAGAAGTGGAGCTGCTAGATCCTGAACTTGCTTCACGACAGAACTCAGTTAAAGTGAAAATAGGAACAACCTGTGTTCTCTGGCTCTGCCAGCGTTTGCTTACTGTTTTGGCTTAAGCAGCACAAGTAGGCACAGGTTCATCCAAATCCTCCCTTGGTGCCCAAAACAAATATTCCCTAGATAAACCCTTCCCACAGAGGTGGGACGCAGGAGGAGGCTGCCTAACAGGACCGTGGTGAAGACGACATGTGGGGCAGATGGCCCTCAGTGGAGGCAACAGAACAGCCCCTGAGCCACTGCTGGGCCGTGCAGTCTGCACCGGGGTGGAGCAGATGCCGCTGGTGAGGAGCAGAGAGGAGTGGAGAGCCCGCGGGAGGCCCGCTGCACCTCCTCTGCTGGCCTCCGGGTCTGAGAGCACTCCGCGTCCTGGGAGACGGGGCTCCTCAGGCTGGTGCTTCATATGAGATTGTAGATCTTGCTCTTTGTGGATTCAGAGCTCTGATTAAGGCCCTCCAGACAACCGACACTGGCTTCTCCAAGTTTCTCTTGCCAGGCACACTGCAGGGAGTCAGGAGGCCCCTGCTGTGACAGACAGGGCTGCCAGGTGCGCTCAGGTGAGAGGCACATGTGCCCAGAAGCAGGTACAGGAGGTGGGCACCTGGGCTTGTGAACTCACTAGCCTCGCACTGCGTGTTTATCTGTGAGCAGGGGCTCTTCCTTCTCTCACTTCTTTTGCCTTCCTCTGCAGCTGGGCCTGTGCTCCGCCTGCACCACAGCCCTTGAGGTTCACGGAGGCTCAGGGAGGGTGCTGTGAACTTCAAAGCCGCAGCGTGCACAAGGAAGGATCCCACAGATGTTTTCACATTATCAAGTGCTTGAGGCATGGCTTTTCCTGAGTGCAGTACCCGCTCGCCACTCCCATGGCTTGTGTGGGGTGCCCCCGGCCATAGCCCTGGGAATGTGCTCCACACATTCGGACTGCATGGATGAGGTTTGATTTGAACTCAGGAAGGAAAAAAAAGTACAGGAAGTCAAGTACTCCTGTGAGTTAGCCAGAAACTCTTCAGTTGCACAGAGCAGTGGAAACCTTTGCTGTCTTACCCATTCAGGATTTTCACCCTGCTGGGGACGGTCCCCAGAGGCCTATCTGATGAGGATGTGGCAGTGCAGCTGCTTACGGAAGCACAGAAGCTCCTGTTAGTCTCTCGCCTTCTGCAGAGGGGACTTTGGACTTGAGCTTGAATCTGACCGAGGGGACAGGAGTTAGCTCCAGGGACTGGACACACAGCTATATTATTTGTTTTCCTTGAGTTATGACCCCAGCCCTGGACATGCCTCATTCCAACAGTGTCCCCTCTGTTCTCTACCCTTCAGGCGGGAGCAGTGGCTTTGGGCTAGGAATCATGGGACCGCATCAGTCCCCAGCCAAGTCACTGTTCTGTTCCCAAGACAAGGCCAGACAGTCTGCTCAAAGTTCCCCGCTCCGGAGTTTAGGCGCAGAGCCAAGTGGGGTGCAGCTGCCCATAGCTGTGCCTGAGTCACCTGGGAGTCCCAGGGCCACCTACTTGCGGTCGGCAGCACAGACACTGGACTGCGTGGCCTCCTTAGTTAGGGGACAGAGTTGTAACATGATGCTGGGATGTGGGAATGTTCTGATTCTTTAAGGAGAATGTCTCCTTTGCATATGTTGTTGTTTCGGCTCTGCGGGGCTCCCTTGCTTTTCCTATTCCTTCCTTCTTTGCTCCTCTCTGTGACCTCTGCCTGCCTGTGGGCTGGCACTTCAGGATGGTGTCTTACATGAAGGCTGTCCACCCTGGGAGAAGGGACCAAGCCAAGTGGCCCAGGAGATACAGACAGACTCGGTGTGCGTGTGCATGTGAGATTTGGTATCTGAGCACTGCATGGGAAGAGCCCTCCCCTGCATGGGGAGATCAGGAGTCAGCCCGTGAGAAATCTCAGTGCTCTTGCTTCCATGTAGTCTGGGTTGCTGGGGTTGCTGAGGCTGTTCCCTCTGTTTCTCAGAGCTGCAGGCCTTCGCTCACCACAGCCGACCACTGCCGCGCTTCCAGGTGACTCTGTGCTTTGGAGAGGAGTTTCCAGACCCTCAGCGGCAGAGGAAGCTCATCACGGCCCATGTGAGTATGCGCTGTGCTGTCAGAGGCAGGCTCCGCTGAGAAAAGTCTCAGGAGAAAAGCAAATGTCAAGTGACCCAGAAAATAGACAACCCTTGAGATGGTGCAGCAGGAAGCACACATGTGACAGCACATCTCAGGGATCCAAGGGCCACTTCCGCCCTGAGGTCACCTGTCACAGGGCCAAAGTGGAGACTCAAACCAAGGGCTTTGCCCGTCCCATCTTTCTTATGCTTCAAATTGTCATACTCCTGTTTTACAGAGATTTAGGATTAACACTAAAAGTCGCCTTTGAAGTTCTTTATGTCTTTAAATACTGTCTAGCTGGCATATCTTCCCTGGAGAGAGAATCTTCTTCCAATTGGGATGTTACCCGTTCACTTGTGTGTATTATAGGTCATCTCCAGATATTGCCCAGCCTCTCTTTTATTCTGGATTTCTGGGAATTATTTAATAATTGTCTGGAGGCAGCTACCTCTTTCAAGGAATCCAGGTAGACCAGTCGCTCCTTCTGAGCTCTTGCACAGTTTAAGATGCCTGCAGCAGTGCTGAGTATATATCTTCTGCATAAAAACAGATTTATATAGGCATCATTTAGCATTCATTTGTCATAGAAAACATTTGTCATTCAAAAAAGCCGATTTTTGAATTTGAAAATTTTACATTACTACAAACCCAGAGAATAAGTAGTATCAGGTAAAAAGTTACACACCATGATATGAAAATTTAGAATGAGATTTTAGCTCTGACGATACTTATTGAAAATTGGAGGATGAAGGTGTGGCTTGGTGGTAGAGCACTGACCTAGCATGCATAAGACCTTGAGTTTCATCTGCAGTATTACAAAAGAAAGGAAGTTGAAATAAGACACTTTAAAGGCAGACACACAATTTACTCTTCCTAATGGTAGGAATAAAAAGCAGTCAGCCAACCAAAAAAATGTAATTCCAGACTTTAGTCTTCTGTCATATCTTCTCTCTAGTGAATGATATAATTACTGACATCGCATTATGAACAGAGATAGGCTCAATGACCCAATAAACCCAGGCTTAATAAGCAGCATCTGGGAGAGGGTGGTGAAGTCCAACATGGATCGAGGTGAGGGTTTCCAAATGCACACCTTCCCACCAGGTTAGGTTAGGCACAGGTGGTCCCCAGGTAAGGCCTCCCCTCAAAATCGAAGTGTGGGTCCATACAGGAAAATGCACAGGCACACACCCAGGAGTTCTGTTTATTTTATTATGGATTTAATTCATCCCAGGTGCTTACAAAGGAGTTATGCAAGATATTATTTATCAAATAGCACAAAAGCTCAATTTAGTGACATAATTCTTTGGAAGTGTTCAGATGGTTTTTGGTGCTGTAATTCAGGAAAAGCTGAGTGTAGGCTTTTGGTGAATGTGGTCCATACTAATATTCAAACTAGATACACTTGGGACCAATGAACTTCTCAAATAACTTTTCTTTTCCTCTAATTTTTGCTGTTTAATTTTATTTCCTTTTCTTATATCCTTTGGTTTAGAATTCTGTAGACTGCCTGGGTATCTTAAGTCATTCAGGGTGAGCCTCTCACTATGTCAAACTGCAGTTGTGGAAAAATAAATTCGTTAGTTTAAATTACCCTGAAATTTGCCTGACCTTTTAGTTGGATCATTTGATCTAATAACATTTATTCAGTCTCAGTGGTAGTTGATTTGAAATATCACCTTTATGTTTAGCCTCAACTGAAATCCAGGATTAAGTCGACTCTGTCTACAGGTTGCTCTATATTCAGAGGGCTTTAAATAGGAAATGTTCTGGTGTGTTATAAAATATAATTTCAGACTTTACTTAGAATTTAATCATTATATTTTGAGGATTATTTCATGACGAGCCAATTACACAACGTTAAAAAGAATACCTCAGTAACATTTTTAATATCTTGTTGAAGGTGGAACCCCTACTAGCCAGACAACTGTATTATTTTGCTCAACAAAACAGTGGACATTTCCTGAGGGGTTATGATTTACCAGAACACATCAGCAGTCCCGAGGACTACCACAGATCCATCCGACATTCCTCCATTCCTGAGTGAAAACTGTCAAGACAAACGATTTTTTAAAGTGTAAGTATTTGACTTTGACAGGGACAGCCAATGGACTGCGCTCTTTCTTAGCTCCAGAGCTGAGGATAATCACAGCTTGCAGCAAGAGCAGGTGTAGAAAATCAGCTGCCTCTGATGGAAAGATGAGCTTACTCCAGAAGGAACTGTAGTCTTCATGTCCGTCCGACAAGCAGAGCATTCCACAGTTCCACAGACTGCCAACTTTGGTACTGGGAAAACTCACCACGCCATGTGTTTACATTTGCTTAAATCGAATCTGGAATAAGGTTCGTTTTTAAAGACTGAGAAAACTTGTGCTTTGGCAACCTAGGTATTGTATCATTTCTCAGGGAAATCAATTGCAGACTGTACTGCACATGCAAAAGAAATGTATTCATGTTTGTAGGAGCTGTAGTTCATGTGGAAATATTTGCTGAGTGACAGAAGCTGGATCTTAGGGTGGCCTATCTTCCCACCTGCCTGGGATCTCTGCAAGGTCCACCCCTAAACCCCGTTTCCTCTCCTCAGCCTACTCTGGAAGCCAGTTGGTGAACTCTGTTGCCATTCTCTTCAGCCAAAACACTTTGGGGCTACTTTCGGATAGGAATAGTTATCATTTTGTCATTGTTTCTCATTCTGTAGAAATTATTACTAAGACTTTTTTCTTAAAGACGAAGAAGAAAACAAAAAAACAATCTAAGTACTAAAGATACATTTTTTAAGCCTGGTGACATTTCCCCTCTTCTGTTTGTTTTGTTGGGCTATTGGTAGTATCCACGGCAACATGAGGAGGAGGAGCTGGGGTTCAGGTTGGTGAGCCCTGTCAGAAGACCCAGGCAGGATTCTACCGATTGTGTAACTGCACACTCAGGGGCTGTTTCTGCTTATTTTGTATATTAGATGCTTCCTCATGCCAATAATAGTCTGGCAGGGCCTTAAAATGACTGGATTTTTTCCAAATCTATTTTTGAATAGAATCCAAAGATCCCTACTTGCTTCAATTCCCCAGACCCCTTACCTTCCTCTGTGTTTTGGGTGGACGGGGGTCCTGTGTGTCAATATTTTTTTCTCCTACTACAAAATAACAGCATTACTTCCAGGCTTGGCAAGAGTCAATAGTTCTCAAACATGTGGCTCTCTTATACTAACCATTATTCTGCAATTCATTCAGCAAGCACATAGTGAGTGCCCGTGTATCCTTTGCATTACACAGGTTACAGCCTTTACAAGTATAGTAAGCAATGAAGCCCTGGACAGACATTTTTTTTATTTTTAAAAAAGGATTTTTAAATACTAAAATATTACATACTGACTATTGGAAATGTAAGCAGTCTAGTAGAAGAAAAAATAAAAGGCAGCTGTTTTTTTTCCAACACAAGTCCTTCCCCAAGAAGTGTCCACAAGAGGAATTTCACGTTCCCTGCCAGCACAGACTTACCTCACCCCTCTAGCGGCCTGTAGAACCTCGCTGTACCACACCCAGAAGGATGTAACACGGCTCCTCCACCATGCAGCGTAGACATCTGTGGGAGGCTGGTGTGTCCCACAGATGCAGTAATGTATACATCTTATAGATGCAGAGTATTTAGGGGTATATTATCCTAAGGAAGGTGGAGACAAAATGAGGCACTGCTGCTTCCCAGCACCCCAGCTCATCGCCTTGCTCACTTGAGAGCATGTTGTCCAGTGCCAGCGTTTCATCAATGCTCTCTTCGGGCTCTGTCCCTTCCAGGACCCGCTAAGTCTTTGTTCTCCAAGTGATGCTTGATTTTTAATGTTGTGTGAATTTTTAGAAAATATTTGCTGCTTTAACAGTTAAGCCTTGTTTTTTGAAAAATGTTTGTTGGTTTGGCCCACGACCTCTGATTGTATCTTCATACCCACGTATATTGACTTTTTTAAAGTATGAAATGCCAGGTAAAGAATGCTGATGGTGTTCTCAGGACTTTGAAAAGGAATGGTTTCCTCATTCATTGTCTCATGGAATGTGCACACTAGAGTTTAGCTTGTACTGAGTGGAAGACACTGTTGAAGGTTTAAGTACTTGTTATGCTCAAGAGCTCTGAACCATCAGGGAGGAACTGTATAAATCTCACAGATGCATGGTCTTGGTTTTGTTCTTGGAATTTCATGTTTACTGAAACTCTGGATGGTAACTCATGTCTTCTGGACCACTATAGAGACCAGGTGACCAACTTGTTTAAAGTTGACACCTTGAAGCACTCTGTCCTGAGCAGAATAGAATGGACACCCTGTAGGGAATCCAGCTGGACAGCTGGGTTTGAGGTAAGAGAGATTGCTCCATTGTGAGAAGGAATGTAAGCTACAAAAGAACAGGGTGACACCATATCCATGAGACTGAGCTTGGGGCCATAGGTGGACCGCATTCATCCCTTGGTGTCTGTTGCTGACCAACATGACATGTGACTTCAGTGAGGGTCAGTCCTCCTGGTGTTTATTTTCACTGCTTTGAGGAACATGCCCATAAGTTGTAGTCAAAGTGGAAGAAAGGGGAGATATGGAGAAAAAAAGAAGAGAAAGACCAACAGGCCGGTCCTCCAGTGGACACTCCTTTTTTGTTTCAGATTCCTTGAGGTAATGAGGTCCACTTCTCTCTCTCCCCTGCCCTGTCCCCTCTTTCCTGAGAGAAGTCCTGGTTGGTAGGACCCTGACTGACCTAGTGTTCTGAGGGTTCTGCCATGTTATTGAGACCTTGGCAGAACATTCTATGGATATTCTCCACACATGTCATGGATGTTGATGTAAATTTCACTTTCAAAACAGACTGATGTGTGTGACAATGTAATGTTTTCAGATAGTTGATAAATAAAGACTTTTTAAAAAAAATTGTATGGAGTGTGTGTGTTACTGAACACTCATCTTGACAGCTCTTACTTCCTCCTCCCATTCGGCTTTTTCAGTGAGGCTGTTTTGGCAGTCTACTTCCTTCCTGGTTGAGTGTCCCTGAATCAGATCTCAAAGTGCTCAGCTTGTTTAAAAACAAAACACAAAGGAAACTGCAAACTGCTAGTATTGGGCAGTTCTCAGGAAGAACACATCTCACAGATGTCAGTACATCTGGGAAGTCACTCATCATCTTTCTCTCCCTTGGAACCTGACTGCTCCCTGAACCTAGCTTCCAGGAAGGTGTTTTAATATCTCCTTTTGTATTCAAAGCTCTCCAGTTTGGTTGCTGATGGGGTTAGGGACATAGGCTGACCAGCATTCTGATATAAAACTGTGAATAGAGGTTGTAGGGTGAAGAAGATAGACTCCCTGGGGGTCCCTAAGTCTACTGCTGGCCTCGACTCCAAAGTCTCCCTTTCTGAGTGGTGGGGTGAAGAGTCCCCTTTCCTAGCTGTACTGCTGCTGTTACTTACGTGGCGTGGACTACGCTGGGCCCATCACTTTCCAGCCTGACAGGAGGGAAGACTGTCAAAGAGCAGGGCAATAGCCCAGACGTTCAAATCCTTCAGTTAAAGGTCACAGGGAGCTGTCAGAAAAGTTGCAGTTTGGGTCTAGGACCTCCAACACATCAGAATGATTTTTAAATTGGCTAAGTGATAGCCAAGTAGAATAATGGAAAAACAAAATTATAATTATATACTGCTTCTTGGGGCTCTCTTTGCTCCACAGGTATGGCTAGCTCGAGTTACTATACAGAGGCAAGATTGTTTTTTCAAATAATCTATCAACTGCTTGTATCTAAATGAGTGTTTCAAACACATTTTGAGTCACTGAGTTTGCCCTTAAATCATTTTACACCTCCCTCAGGCACCAGGAAGCTGAACCTTTCTTTACAGAGCAAGTGTGACTGTTTTAGGTTCATTCTCCTAAAAGTAATGATTAACATGACACTTAAGCACATTTATGTCCAGCAATACTCATCTATGCCAAAAAAAAAAAAAAAATACTGAATGCTACGTCATTTCTTTAGAAAGAACTGTAGGGTCAGTTGTGGTATCTCATTTTTTCTAGGACAGGCTGTACCTACATTAACCCAGGCAGACAGATATCTTCTGAATCAATGTCCATTTATGAAGTGGAGGGTGTTTGGAGGCAGCCAGGGTTCTCCTTCAGTGGCTCTTGCTCTCACCAGCCTGACCATGTGTAGGCAAATGGCTCTATGCAGAAGGTCCTGAAAGGCACCTTACTACCCTTCCCCAGGCATCTTCCCCTACCACCACCTCTTCCCCTAGCCACCCCCTCCCCATGAGGTCCCCTTTCTGGAAGTACTTTCTGTCTTCTCTTTGTACCTCTGCTTGGTTCAGTGAGGGATGACATTTCTGCAGCATTGAAAGATGACTTCCCTACTGTATTCCCCCCACATAGCTGAGCTTTTGGGACCCAGGTACAAAACCAGCTGGGAATTTGAGAAAGATATACACTTTTCGCCCTCGTGGCTTCCTACCCCAGGCTAAAGAAAGATGCTCAGAAGTGGAAAGAGGAGTAAGCAGGAGAAGAAATGAATACTCAGACTGCAGCAGCTCCCTTAGAAGGAGAATGATCTTCTGCATCCTGGAAGAGGCTGGGGGACAGTGAAGCTGAGAACACCTTATTGGAAGGAATGTCGAGAACGCCAAGTTATACAGGGGCAGGGGCACAGGACTGAAGGATGGCTCCATGGCTGCCTGTGTGGACTGATGACTGTTGGAAGTAGTGATGGGTGTTCCAGGATGGGTCTGAGGAGAGACGGGAAAGTGGGCCACACTCCCCACACACCAACATGCGCGCTCATATATATGCATACACACACACATCAGCACTACAGAAGCTGGGCCAAGCTTAGTCCGAATGCAGGGGAAGAGGAGATGTCCACAGTGAACTGAACTTGAATTTCTACCACCCTAATAGAGTAAGAGCTTTGAATAAAAATTATATTGTAAATATAATATGAATTCTATTTCTTAAAAATTTGAGCTATTAGTCTTTTGTCACTGTAACCAAATACCTGAGGCAAACCTCATGGTTTCACAGGGTTCAGTGGCTCATTGTTGGCCCCACAGATGAGTTGGCCCGTTTGGGGTCCTAGTAAGTAATGGAGGAAACTGGAAATAAAGAGAGTGGGTCAGGATCCCACAATCCCTTTGGGACACACCCCCAATGACCTCACTTCCTTCCACTAGGCCCCACCTCTTAAAGCTACCACCACCTCCCAATACTACCACAGCATAGAGACCAAGCCTTTAAACACATAGGACTTTGGGGACACAAACCATAGCAGGTATGAACTTAGATTTATATCTACTGTGTCTGTAGCATCATACTGGCCACTCTGGTTGTAACTGCTTGTGTATTAATTTTTCTTCCCTACTATAAATTGGATTTGCCATTATACGCCTGGGACAGCAACAGTGTCTAGGCCAGAAGAGACACCAATAAGTAGATGGGAATGATGGAACTGGTGAATTTAATAGGTCTTTTATATCTAGTAATCTCCGTCAGGGTTCTGACTAAGTGATGGTCCATCTGTAGGAAAAAGTGTAGTGAACTACTTAAAAACTGTATAATACATGAGCATTTAATGGCATGGGGAAATGGTTGTTAATATGTTAAGTGAAAGGAAAGCTTTTAAAACAATATGGTATATGTTTTTTGAAGTGATACGGACTTTGTGCCTAAAGTAGTTTAAAAAGAATCGTCAACAGTGTCACAGTAAATTATATCACAGAGTAGTGAGGCTATCTGGGGACTTTTAGTTCTCTTACATGCCTTTTTATTTTTCATAATTTTCAAAATTTCTCCAGTGACCACAGGTTTTGTTACTAGAAGCGGGGAAGAAGAACAATGTAATTTCACTAAATCGGTATGTCCCTTTTAATTTTCTGAGTGGTTTTCCTGTTTCTCAGGCTGCTCTGTGGGGTCCCCAGAGCTCGGGCCCCCCCTCCTCTGCAGTAGTGGGTGCAGGGCCTGCGGGTCTAGGCCTTGGCCTCCCCCGTCTTCCTCAGCCAGTGTCCAGGCTCATTTCTTCACCTCACCTTCTCCCCAGGACCGTCCATGCGCTCTGGGTTCCTACCCTGCGCAGAGCCTTGCCTTGGGTTTTCTAGCTCGGGCCTCACCTGTGGGCGCTTCCCAGCCCACCGCCTTTCCTCCTACACGTCCCATCAGGGATCCTGCTCCTCCTCACCCTGCAGGTCCGTTTATGCCGGCTGCTCTTTGTTCCGGCCCTACTATTTCTCTTATGCTAATCTACCATGCTAATCTTCCCTTACGCTATGCTTGGAGTTGCTTGGAGACAGGAAGGACAAAAACGTTGATTCTTTTCTGTGGAAAATATACATGACATAAAACAGGATGACAAATATTTAATAATTTAAATAAGTTTACTAACTTAATAATTTAAATAAATATCTATTTGACATACTTCTTAAAATACTTTTAAAAGGATCATTTTCTTGAGACCTCTAAGTTGACTCACTTTTTAAATTTAAATATCTACTCTAGCGTCATGCTAAGTAATAAAGGTTTATAAAAACCACATATTTCATTAATGCCATTTAAAACAGATAACAACTGAAATGAAATATCCACTGGTGCGCCACCTGAACGCTGCCCTCCCTGACGTGCCGGCGCCTTCACTGGACACCAAACGCCTCTCTGCCTCGAATGGTGCTTAGCGCAGTGCTTTGCAAGCAGGGACTTTACCAAATGAATAGAAATTCTGAATAATTAAGAATAATTAACGTCTTGATTGGGTACTGACTTCCTGAAGATAGTCTCCATTTGTATTCCGTACTTTTTAATCAGCAATGACATCTTATGCTAATGAAAGTACAACACATTTAAGAAGTTTTCTTTTCAACTTCTGAAGTTTCAGGGAGCAGCCCGTCGGAGTGACAGCTGTGGGCGGGTCCCCAGGAGAGCCCCTTGGTGAAGGCTGGCTGCGGTAGCCGGCGGCGCCGGAGCACTTGCTGGGTCCCCGCATGGGCCAGCTGCCAGGCCTCGAGAAAGGTTTCCAGGCCGGAAGGAGAGCGAGCTTTGCCTCCAGGGCGCATTGGCTCTGACCAACCACGAGTCTCCAACAAGCAAATCCTTCCTGCACCCCTGGCGACTGGACCCCCGGCACATCTTCCCAGGCTTCTTGGAGAACTCTGCCCTCACCCCAGGTAAGGGGCCAGAGTCACAGCCCCCACCCAGGCCCACACGTGTGTTCTAAAACATGACTCCTGCCTGTAAATGACACATGCTGGTGGCTTTTCGTGACCTAATGAAAGAAAAGAAAGAACAGGCGTGCAGCCCCTACGGCCGAGGGACTCAGCAGCTCAGAGGCAGGCGCTGCAGAGGGGTAGTCATCCGTGGCCACGTTCCCTCGCCTGCGACCTCGCGCGGGCTTACTCACCACGGCGGCTGTCACCACATCACTCCCGCCTGGTACTTCAAAGCTTTGTGTAGCAGAGCTCTGTGAGTCGTTTCCCACCGTGTTCATAAGTAATGGCGAGGCGGCCTTAGGGGTTTTTTTGACATTTATGATCTCTGTCGTCACGTCCAACATTAAACTTGAAAAATGTTTAGGTTGAGATTAAAAAAAAAGATACCTTTATCTTCTACTTTTGAAGAAAAGGGGAGAAGCAGCACAGTCAGTGTGCGATGTCCTCTCCGTGAGTAGCACATGTGATGCAGACGACCTCGTCCCGGTCCCTGCAGCCACTTGCTGCTGGGTCTTCTCTCCGCCTGCCACTGCCTGCGTGACCTGCAGCTCCTTCCAGCCTAGTGATGATTCCCATCACCACAACGGAAACCAAACTGGGCCACAGAGGGAGAACGTTTCCCAGGCGTGTTCTTCCCCAGAAGGGGTTAGGACGCCTAGAGGGGGGTGGCTTGTGCCGTC